CACAAACACTTACAAAACGATATACTTTGGTCTGCGATGGAGAAAATACAGGCTACTTTGGGAAGGTTCCGCAGAGATGGTGTTCCAGGAATGAGCGCTGCTCTCACACTCTTGAGAGGACTGCCACTGGTCTCTGAGGATTCCATCAGCTTCTCACTGCAATGGGTTTGTTTTCAACTGCACATCCCCAGAGTTCAGGGTAGGCAGTGCACACTGAGCTGCCTCTTTCAGTATCTCGGAGTTGGGGGATTTTGAGGATCTTGATTGCAATGGCTTCAAGGTTTCTTCCCTTCATCAGGGAGTCCCATATCAACTGGAACAGCCATTTTTCATACAGTGAGCATGACTAGCACACTTCACACAAGGTGTCAAGAGATGAGCAGTGTGTCTTCCATGCAGTAGCATCATGATCCCAAATGTCTACCGTGTTTGCTGAGATTTTTGAGAGACAGCAAATTAGGCACTCTGTGTCTCAAGTCATATATAGTAGCTTAGCAGGCATGTTATTCATTCTTAATCATTGTCTTAACTAGGATCAAGACTCTGGCTGCGGCTGCGGCTGCGGCTGCTTAACTGGTACACCCCAGTCAAGGCATCAATATCCCAGAGAAAGCCCCAGCAGCCTTTGCCAAAGGAAGTATGGCGTTGGTGACGGACACAGAAGCTGCAAGTACTGAGAAGGAAGCTGAAGAGGAAGAGCAAGGGAGGGCTCACAGTACAGCAGGGGTGAGACACACTCTGCAAGTTTTCAGGAACAACTGGGGAGGGAACTTAGGGGAGCCTTAGGCCCTGTCTCAACACATAAGCTAGCAGAATGTTGGGTCATCAGTATTAATTTATCTTTACCAATGGACAAGGAAACCCATGAGTTACACATGCAGCAAGTGTACGGGATCCTGGTATGTGCCAACACTGGGCAGTAACTGGCACTACCACAGTGGGCGTGGGGCAGGTCTCTCAAGCCGATGTCCTCCAGCATTTCTCCCACTCTCCTTGTTGCTGTCATCTGTTGATGCTCTGTCACTCAATCCCTGATGACTTTGGCAACTGCCCACTGGAAGCTTAAGTCCAGCTGAGAAGACAAACAGAAAATCTTTCCTCCCCTATTAGACTGAGGGCTCCATGAAACAGGGATTATTCTATTTTGTTTGCTCTTGTCTCCATCCTCTTAAATTAGCACATAAAAGACACTTAATAAACCAGGGCATGGCAAGTGCCTCTAGTCCCAGCCACTTGGAGGCCGAGGTGAACCCAGGAGTTTTAGTTAAGCCTGGGCTACATAGAAAGATCTTCCAAAAAAAGGTGATCAATAGGGAATAAATAACTGAGAGAGACTGATGGGAACGTGGAACCAGACCAGAGGAGAGGGAACACTGAAAATACAGCATGTCAACCAAGATAGGAAGGGTGTGTGGAATTTAGTGAGACTGGAGGAGGGTGAGATTGGGAGAAAAGCAGCTTCCAGGCAGGAGGAGCAGTGTGTCAAGGCCTGAGGGAGGAGGGGCACAGCTGGTTGTTGGAACTAACAAAGGTGAAAACTGAGCAGGAATGCAGGGACCTGGGACAGAGGCAAGCTGGAGAGATGGCAGGTCTCTAAGGACCTGTGGAACTACCTTATGGACAATGGGCTTCATTCTAGGGACCACGGGAAGTCACTGGATGGTTTCAAGGACGGGGTGTGATCTGAAAAATGCACATTTGTATCTTCAAAGAAATCATCTGGAATCGCATGTTGGAACTGGGTTGCAGGGACCAAAGATGGAGGCAGAAAGAGAACGCATAAGGCTACTTTGCAAGTCCAGAGGCAGATGGTGGCTGGAATACGGTTATGGTGTGGAGTGGAGGAAGGGGAGGAGTCAAGGATGACTCCCAAGTTTTGGTCTGAAGAACTGGTGGCTATTCGTGGCATTTGCTGAGACAGGAAACACTTAAGGAGGAACCTGTTTTAGAGGAGCAGAGAGGATGATGAATTCTGTTTTTGCCATGCGGAGTGAAAGATGCGTGTTAGCATCTGAGTTTACACTAGGGAAAGAAATTTTACATCCGGGTATGCTTTTTTTTTTGACAGAGTCTCCCTTTGTCGCCCAGGCTGGAGTTCAGTGGTGCAAGCTTGGCTCACTGCAACCTCCACCTCCCAGGTTCAAGCGATTCTTGTGCCTCAGTCTCTCGAGTAGCTGGGGCTACAGGTGGGTACCACCACATTCAGCTAATTTTTGTATTTTTTTTAGTAGAGACGGGGTGTCACCCATGTTGGCCAGACTGGTCTCGAACTCCTGACCTCAAGTGATGCACCCACCTCGGCCTCCCAAAGTGTTGGGATTACAGACATGAGCCACTGTACCTGGCCTTGGGTATGCATCTTTGGAGAAAGAGCCAGATAAGGGATGCAAATCTGAAAGTGGTCTGCATTTAGATGGTAACTGAATCCCCAAGAATTGGTGCAATGGCTGGGGAGAGTATCGACTGAGAAGGGCAGACGGCCTTGGACCAAGCACCAAGAAACTCTCAATATGGAAAGATTCTGCAGAAAAGCCTGGTTTCAAACCTGGCTGATCGCTAGAATCACTTGGGAAACTTTTAAAACGTGAATCTACAGGAGCATGTGACTATATATTTTGAAAAACCTGTAGTAGCATTAGAGACCATTTGGTAACAGAAGACTGGCTAGGAAAGAGGGAAACAGAAAGATGGTGATGTTTCAGATACCAAGGGAAGAATTTCAGAAAGAAAGGAATCAGACAAGATCAGGACTGAATTTAGTAACAGGAAACCAGATGGCGGTGCATCCACTTGTCTGACTTTTTAAAAGTAGGGAGTTGGTGTTTGAACTCAATAAGGGATGACAGGAAGCAGCCCAGCAGGTCCCCCTGTGCTCATGTGCACAGCGTGAGAACAGGGAAAAGGAAGGGGAAGGAAGGTGTCAGATGGCAGAAAGCTTTTCATTGGAAGTAGCATCCGAACTGAGGCAAAATGGATAGTAATCAGGCAAAGAGCTAAGCATTCCTAGGAGAGGAAATACAGAAACAAAAATATGACAAGCTAAGAAAATATGTACACTCTAGGAAATAGAGTTAGTCCTTGGCTGGAACACAAGGAATTAAGTGTTGGGAACCAGGCAACAGAATGGGGCACAGCCCAGTTTTTGTTGTTGTTGTTTTGAGGCGGAGTCTTGCTCTGTGGCGAGGCTGAAGTGCAGTGGCACGACCTCTGCTCACTGCAAATCTCCCGGGTTCAAGGGATTCTCCTGCCTCAGCCTCCTGAGTAGCTGTGATTACCGGCGCGTGCCACCATACCCAGCTAATTTTTGTATTTTTAGTAGAGACGGGGTTTCACCATGTTGGACAGGATGGCCTTGATCTCCTGACCTTGTGATCTGCCCACCTCGGCCTCTCAAAGTGTTGGGATTACAGGCGTGAGCCACCGCGCCCCGCCCAGAGCCCACTTATTAAGGACCTTGTATGACAAGCTAAAACGTTCTTACCCTGAAGGTTAAAAAAAAAATTAAAAAAAAAAATTACCCTTAAGGTAAAAGGGCCCTGAAAAATCTAAGAAAGTAAGTACTATGATTATATTTGTAATTTAGAAAGCCCATCTGGCAGCCAGTGTGAAGGATGGTCTGGGGTCAGGAATGGATTAGGGGAAGATGGCGGCCGAAACTTCCACCTGGAGGCTGTTGCTGAGATGCAGACATGGGACACAGATTCACCAGGGCAGGAGCAGTGAAGGAAAGAAGCGCGCTGAGGCGGTGAGGAATGGGAGGAGGTGGGGACATTAGTTTGCTTAGGTGACTGGCTTGTTGGAGGTGAGCCCTTGAGTTAAGGAATGAGGAAAAGACTAGCTTTAGATAAGGATAAGGATGGAGATGGGGTGTGGGAAAGAACATTTCAACACTGGTAGGCTTATTCCTTTCTCCAAAGGAGAAAATATGTCAGTAACAGTATTGCTAGTTCCCCTAACTCCTTCTCTCTCACCTCTAAGTCACTGGGCAGCCTGTTTACTTCAAATATCAAGACTAATATAGATCAGCTTCCTATATTCAAACATAGTAGCTTCCACCAATCACTGCAGGGAGTTAGTTCATTCGTTAATTACATCATTAAAAATACTTGTAATGCACCAGTGACTTGCAAGGTACTGTGACTGGGGGAACTGATAAGTGAACAAGACATAACTGACCCTTCCCTCATAGAGATTACATTCTAGCAGGAGCCAAAAACTGTATTAATCATCGGATTATAAACCATTTAGTTATATAATATCGCAAAGGTTCTGTAAAAATATAGGGTAGAATGAGGCAAAGAACAAGGCGGGTAGGGGGACCGAGGTTCCTAAATAGGTTTTAGTAGATCTGTGACCTCCCTGAAATCTGTAAAATTTTGTCTGTGTCTGTATACATTTAAACGGGCCGGTGGGGAAGTGGGGGTGGGGGGCTGGGGGAGGAAGCAGAGATTCCATGCTCAGGAGTCTGTGAATCCTAAGAGATTAAGAACCGGCCGGCCGTGGTGGTTTACGCCTGTAATCCCAGCACTCTGGGAGGCCGAGGCGGGCGGATCACCTGAGGTCGGGAGTTCGAGATCAGCCTGACCAAAATGGAGAAACCCTGTCTCTACTAAAAATACAAAATTAGCTGGGCGTGGTGTCACATGCCTGTCATCCCAGCTACTCGGGAGGCTGAGGCAGGAGAATCGCTTGAACCTGGGAGGCGGAGGTTGCGGTGAGCAGAGATCTCGCCATTGCACTCCAGCCTGGGCAACAAGAGCAAACTCCGTCTCAAATAAAAGAAAAAAAAAAGAGAGAGCGAGATTAAGAACCACTTTACCCTTCAAGTCCATCTAGGCACTATTTATATACAAACCTTTTCCGCGGGGAAGGCAGGGAGGGATAGAGGGGGAAGCCAGTAGCTTGGCGGTCTACTGAGAATGACCCCAGCTTTACGTTTACAAACATCGAAAGTAATCACTCTTCTATGTGAGAAAAGGCAACACACTCATTAATTTTTAAAAACGTAGTTACTTAAAAAGATTGGGAGATTTTCTATTCCTTATCAATGGAGATTTCCTGGCACGTGCCCCACCCAAGGCCCACGCCCAGAGCGCTCGAGTGGCGGGACAACAACCGCTGACATCTTCCCGTTCCGACGCCACAGGCTGCTCCGAGCTCCGCCTTTTAGATTGCACCGAGAGAAACCAGCGACAGCTCTGAGTCCAGGCCGGGTTTTCAAGCATCAAGACGGAAGTAACAGCGGAAAGGAAGTTCCAGCGCCCGCGCTGGGAAAGAGGTGGGGGGACCTAGGGAAGACTCAGGGTGCGATGGCGGCGCAAATTCCAATTGTGGCCACCACTTCCACTCCGGGAATAGTCCGGAACAGCAAGAAGAGGCCGGCCAGCCCATCCCACAATGGCAGCAGCGGCGGGGGCTATGGCACCAGCAAGAAGAAAAAAGTGTCTGCCTCCAGCTTTGCGCAGGTACGCAGTCGTGCTCCCAGCCTGCGCGTGCGCGTCGCGGAACGGGATGGGGCGGGACGGAGCCGAGCCAGGGCGCGTGCGCAGTGTGGGGCGCTGTGCGTGCGGTCTCTGGTGTGATTGAAAGATGCTAGCCAGTGGAGTGAAGGACTACTCTTCCCCTTCGTTAGTACACATGGGCTTACAACACCTTGTGTTGTAAGGAGAGAAGAGGAAGTAGGGAGGTTATTACTGACTTAGTAGTAATAGAAGGACTGCCTCTTCCCCTCGAGGTCGCCTTTAGCTTGAGGTTCAGGACTTCTGAGTGTCAGTCGTTCAGAAATGTGCGTGTCTTCCCCTCGTCCATTCTGCAGACATCTACCCAGTATCTTTGAGGTGCATAGCGCCCTAATGTCCTGCATGGATGAATACAATATGTATTGATAAGTATGCTTTCTCTCATCCTGAGAAAAGTGCTTTTTAGACCCTGGGTTTCCCAATCCTAAAGCGGGTTTGGTCTTAACTCATCGGCTTGTTAAGATCATGAAGTAATGAGTGTAAAGCCCTGAGCTCAGCGCCAGGCTTAGACTCCAGGGCCTCTGAGCAATCTAGGCTCCGTAATTCCAGCAATGAATTTTCAGCAGGGAGTGGCTTGATTAGTGTTTTCTCTGGCTCCTCATTTTATTCAGAACGAAAAAGCAGAGATAGAGTGTGTTACTTTGTGCTCCTCAGCATATGGTGTGACACCGTTCACCTAGCCAGTCAGTGGCTGTTCTAGAAATCTTCTTGTTCCTTCTTCTGTAGGTGATTGGTAGTGCTTTTCTTCTTTAACCTTTTAATATTAAATACTTTGCTGTAGTAAGATTTACACACAGTAGAATGCACAAATCTTCAAGAATACTGGCTCAACCACAGATCTTCAAGAATCCTGGCTCAGGCCTGTATACCAGCACTTTGAGAGGCCAAGGCGAGAGGATTGCTTGAGGCCAGGAGTTCGAGACCCGCTCCCCAACCCCCATCCAAATTTACAAATTAGCTGGGCGTGATGGTGCACGCCTTCAGTCCCAACTACAAGGGGATCACTTAAGCCCAAGATTTTAAGGTTACAGCAAGCTATGATCGTGCCATTGCAGTCCAGCCTGGGCAACAGAGTGAGACCCTATCGCGCAAAAAAAAGTACAGATCCAGTGCCCTTTTACATTTGTATACACCTATGGCCACTGCCTGGATCAAGATAGCATTTCTAAGAGCGGGTGACCTTTTCCTGTGAGTACTGTCTTCCCTCCCTAACAGAGGTACCCACTATTCGGCCGCCCTTCACAATAGACTGACTTTGGGTTGGAGCATAATGTAAATGGAATAATACAGGACAACAGGGAACATACTCTTTTGCGTCTGTCTAGGTTCCTTTTTCAGACAGTGTTTTTGAGAGTCATTCATTGATTCAGTACATCTGTTGCATTGTATAAACATACACCTGATGAATATTTGGATGTTTACAGTTTTTGGCTTTGTGCAGAAGCTGCTCTGAACATTCTTGTACAAGTCTTTGTGTAGATAGATGCTTTCATTTCTCTTGAGAAGTAGTGGAATTGCTGAGTCAGAAGGTAGGCACACATTTAACTCAGAAACTGTTAAACAGTATTTCTGAAAGTAGTTGCACTGTTTTTGCATTCTTACCAGCAAAGTATGAGAGTGCCAGTTGCTCGAAATCCTCAACAATACAGAGCATTGTCAGTCTTTCATTGTCAGTCTTTAACTTTTAGCCATTTTGTTGAGTGTGTAGTAGTATCTCCTTGTTTTAATTTTTTCTGATGGCTAATGATATCAATCACTTTTCATAAGCTTATTTGGCATTCCAAATCTTTTGTGGAGTGCCTAATTATTTTTTCTAATTGGCTTTTTTTAAAAAAAAAAAAATTATATTGATGTGTAGAAGAAGTTCATTACATTCACTTTCTTGACTAGACTCCTTTGCCAGATGTATGCATTGTGAGTAATTGCTCCCAGTCTGCGACTGGCGTGTTTTGATAACCAGTTGTGCCAGGACCAAGGAATGTCACTAGGACATATGGGGAGGAATAATTGTTTCGACCCCAAAGGGAGCATTGATTAACTTCCACTACCACAAGCTTCTGAGAGTGATCAAATGCCTTCAGGAGACTGAAAATTCCCAGTAATCCAATATGGTGGAAATCTTAACTCTCTATTCCCTGTGGGCCTTTTTTTGTATCCAAGCAGCAGCCTCTGGAGAAGTTGGAAAGGGCAGAGCATTTCCTGAAAGAGTGCCTTCTTTTGTCCTGACTCTCCTTTTCCCAGCTGATATTTAACTAAAGGAGACAGGGTCTTCGTCTGTCACCCAGGCTGGAGGACAGTGGCACAATCATGGCTCACTGCAGTCTCGACCTCCCCGGCTTAATGGATCCTCCCAACTCAGCCTCCCAAGTAGCTGGGATGACAGGTGTATGCCACCATGCTCGGTTAATTTTTTTGTATTTTTGGTAGAGGTGGAATTTCACCACCAGTAACCCAAGCTGGTCTCAAACTCCTGGGCTCAAGCAGTCTGCCCACCTTGGCCTCCCAAAGTGTTGGGATTACAGGCGTGAGCCACCGTGCCCAGTTGTCTTAGATTTTTGCCTTGCTGTGATCCTTTCATTCTAGTTCCCTTTCCACAGTGTGTAGGAAATAAGCAGGCATAAGCACAGTACCCCTGAGGGCTGCCGGGAATCTTCTTGAGGTCACCCTCATCTGTGTCACTTGCTCAACGTTTCTGTTCTGTTTCAGTTAGTTCGTGTAGCAGTAATTTATTGTGCTGTGTTTCTGTTCCATCCGCAGCAGTATGCTTAAGACATTTCAAAGGATTTTTGCTTGTCCCCACACTACCAAAAACATCCCAGGAGAGAATGACGTACATACATTGTATTTCGTTTTCTACTGCTGCCATTACAAATTACCACACATTTAGTGGCTTAAATAACACCCATTTAGTAGCTCATGGTTCTGTAGATCAGAAGTCCTGACACAATGCGACTGGGTTGACTCTGCTCCAGGTATCACAAAGCTGAAATCAAGGTGCCGGCCGAGTGTCTGAAGGCTCTGGGGAGAAATTTGCATGCAGGTGAATTCAGGTTGTTGGCGGAATTCTGTTCTTTTGGGGCGGCAGGAGTGTGGGGCCCCTGTCTTCTTGCTGGCTGTCAGGTGCTGCCCATGTTCCCTGCCACATGGCCTTTTCCATTTTCAGAGCCAGCTATGGAGAATCTCCCTTGTGTCCAGTTCTTCTCATGCTTCAGATATTTCCGACTTCTCTTATTGCTGACCCCTAGACTCAGATTTAAAAGATTTATGTGATTAGGCAGGCCTACTTGAATAATCGCCTTTTTTTTTTTTTTGAGACGGAGTCTCGCTCTGTCGCCCAGGCTGGAGTGCAGTGGCGGATCTCAGCTCACTGCAAGCTCCGCCTCCCGGGTTCACGCCATTCTCCTGCCTTAGCCTCCCGAGTAGCCGGGACTACAGGCGCCCGCCGCCTCGCCCGGCTAGTTTTTTGTATTTTTTAGTAGAGACGGGGTTTCACCATGTTAGCCAGGATGGTCTCGATCTGCTGACCTCGTGATCCGCCCGTCTCGGCCTCCCAAAGTGCAGGGATTACAGGCTTGAGCCACCGCGCCCGGCCAAATAATCGCCTTTTTAAAAAGTCAGCTGATCTGAGACCTTAATTGCATCTGCAAAACCCCTTTGTAGCTGAACCCAGATTAGTGTTTGCTTGAATAACTGGTAGAAGTTGTGTGCACACCAGGGGCAGGTTACTTGCAAGGTGGCAGGGGTGTACTGGAATTCTACCTGTCACACAAATGAAACCATTAGGAAGATACAGTAATGTCTAACCTTGAGCCAAAGCTAATTATAGGTGATTATAGGTGTTGGTGCCCTATTGTGGTGAGACACAGGAGGATGATTCATCAGTGCTGGTGATGGTACTCAAAGGAGAGGTAGCGAGGCAGAGGGACTTGAAGTTGGCTTGGAGAGGTTTGCTGGGGAAGGCATTCCAGGCTCCGAGCTGTGCACATTGTAAGATTAACCTGGGTTGCCCAAGGTTTCATTAGTGGGGAAGTGAGTGTTTTTCTGTAAATGATTGTATTTCTTGAGTTAAAAGAGATTTTATAGGTCTTTCATCACCTACATTTCCCTATGTCAATAAATTTTAGCTATTTTGATTCTTAAGTAAAAGCAAAGTATGTAAAACTTTAATGGAATTTTAAAATTTACAAAGCACATTTACATGTAGGACATTAGAGTGCTTTTTGAGATTGTTAAAGATAACTTGAATTATCATGAATTCTTAAGGTGGGTTTAACTTTCCTGAAATATGCTTGCTGTTTCTAAAGTAAAATTGAGTGCCTAGTTGAAATTTAAAGAAGTTTAGAAATTTAGATGCTTAGAAGTCCTGAGGAGTTGAAGGGAATATTTTTCATTAAAGGTATTCTGAGGAAAGCATTTATAGAAGCCTTCTTTACATCAGTGTTAGGAAATACTATTAAATAATTTAGTAGTACAAAAACAACTTTGTTTTATCATTTCATCAAGATGGCTCTCTTTAGTTCAGCAGAAATTACTACTAATGTTCATGCTTGCTAAGGGGTGGTACAAATCATCTCAGAATCACAATTCTGTGGATTTATATTTTCAGCATAACAGTTGTTGATTAATAATGTTATGAAAGTGCAGTCTTCCTTTCACTCTGGTTGTTACTTTGAAGGGATTAATGTTGGTGGGTTGGGGAATAGATAACTGTGTTAAAGTGAAAGGAATAAGGATAAATAATAGTAATTAATATTTATCAAGCATTTACTACGTGCCAGGCACTGTTCTAAGTACTTTCTAAGTACGATGCCATTTAATCCTCCAAACGACCCTCTGTGAATTGATCACTTAATTTTACAGATAAAAATGCCAAGGGCATAGAGAGGCTATGAAAATTGCCCAAGGTCATACAGTGATAGTGTCAGGATTTGAACCCACGCATGCTGTCCAGAGTCTACATTCTTTTTTCTTAACTGCCTCTCTTGATATCACTTTGTTACTTTGTATATTAGAAGATTATTAATTAGATCTCTGGTATAACCAAATTCATGGTGCAGATAAATGCCTTTGGGAACAGTTTTACTGGATCAATATAGGGCAATTTAGGCTTTTCAAATGTGTATTAAAGTTGATAAAATATACTGAGAAATCTAATTAACCTATAGACTGAGAGTTACTTAATAGCCTTTTCATTTGTGAAGCAGCTAATAAAACATCTAAAATGCAGAGGCAGTAGTTGCATCTTTAGAAGGATAGTGCAGATGATGAGAGAATCTTCTAACATTGGCGGGGCAGCCAGAGAATGCTGGACTGATTTGGTTTATTCATTGAAAAAACACTCATCCTACTATTCAACTTCTGTAAAACACAAAAGCAAAAATCCAACAAATCCTGATAATTTTAAGTCTTAAAAGTTATTCTTTTCTATTTTTAAAATTACCTTTTTTTTTTCATTTTTAAAGTTGACCTAAAAAGTCACCCAGTCTCCTTCCCCAACAACTATTATAATTTGTGTTTTCTACATGTAGATATAGTTTTTCATCATTGTATTTGGTATATAGCATTACGTGCCCCGTTTTTCACTTAGCATTATTTTGTGAACATTTCTGTATGTTGATAGTCTTCTCAATTAGACTTTTAAAGGTCAAATAGTCTTTTATGACTGTTGCTTGCATTATATTCCAAGGAATTAACTGCTCATATTTAATTGACTTTATTATTGGATATTTAGGTTGCATTTTGACTTTTTGCTGTTTTAAGTAACTCTATAGTAACCTTGCAGTTTTAGACCAGGGCCAGCTATTTGCATCTATAATTCTATGACATAGATATAACTTGACATTTGACTTTTCAGTAATAAGACAAAGGATACTTTTCTCCTTTCTTTATAACCACAGACAGAATGCCCAAATTATCCTTTAGTCTGAGTCAGAGTCAAGCACACTACTGCCTGGAGAGATGAAGCCATTGATTTGGGTTCTTCAGTTGGGCAGAGCAGAGCAGGGTGAGACCCGGGCCTTGTGAACTCCAGTCTGTTAGCCATAGGCGTGTGTTTCCTGAGTAGCAGGCTGGGTTTCTCTTCCCTGAGACTTACATCAGCTCTGTTAGTGCTGCAAAGTGGGGGCACCCCTTAGTGCTAGGCGTTCCTTCCTCTCCTCTTAGGGTGTTCATATCTTGGGGCGGGACAGTTCATCTTGTAAAGTCCTTAGTGATAATAGCGCTTTAGTGGAATGGAAATGATGCATCATTTTATCTTATTGCATCCAAGCCTCACAGACTTGATCTTCCCTTTGACTAAAGGTCTCTCTCCCTCTCATCCTGTTGTTAGTAGACACAGGAGTCTCAGCTTGGCTAAGCTGAGCAGAAGTGAAGAGTAAGGGTATAGTATTGTGGGGGTTGGGGAGAGGAAAGTGAAGCATAAAACTAGCTCTGGCCTGGGGCAGGGGTATCTCTGGTTAGAGAAGGAAGGGAGCCTGCCACAATCTCAGAAGCAGGAGGCAGCATGGGTATGATGTGGCTCAGTTCATGTCAGAGTGCCCTGTCTTTAGCCTGACGTCCCAGTAGGGGTCTGACAGAGGATGGAGTGAGCAAGCCGTCAGGAGGGGTCCCTTTCAAAAACCAGTGCTTCCGTGGGTCATTTTCATCCCCTTCTTGACTCTTCTCTAGCTTGCTGCCTGGAATGGCTGACTTAGACCTCTGGTCCTCTCTTCATACCACCCTCTCCTTACTCTCAGCAGATGTGCTTGTCTGCCTGAATCTAACGAGGGCGCCTGTCTGGCATTTTTCTCCCCCGTCTCCCTGGGGCCTTGGAACTAAATGCCTATGTCAGAAGAAACCCCTGTATTGCCTTCCTTTCACTGGGCACACAGCACCTTTGAGCTTCCTCACTGGGATTGGGGAAGTGGAATAAACAGAAAGGGAGAAATGTAGTATTTGGCCAGGCGCAGTGGCTCACACCTGGAATCCCAGCACTTTGGGAGGCCCAGGTGGGCAGACCACTTGAGTCCAGGAGTTCGAGACCAGTGTGGGCAACATGGTGAAACCCTGTCTCTACAAAAATACAAAAGTTAGCTGGGCATAGTAGTGCGCACCTGTAGTCCCAGCTACTCCTGAGTGGTGGCTGAGGTGAGAAGATGGCTTGAGCCCAAGGAGGTTGAGGCTGCAGTGATCTGTGATCATGCCACTGCACTGCAGCCTAGGTGACAGAGCGACACCCTATCTCAACAACAACAACAACAAAATAATTTTAAAATGCCGTTTTTTAGCATCTCTGGAGTGGAAGAAAAAGCTAACTTCACTGCCTGAGGATAGGACCGTGGGAGCTGGCAGGTCTGTGGATGGTTCTGTAATCACAGTTGGAAGCTTGGGGGACTGCATTTTCCCCTGCCCTTTAGTGTGTCCTTTTTGCTCTTTAACAATTCAGATTGATTTTTTCCTCCCTGATGGCCACAGTATTGTATCAGTAGTTATATTCTTTGAGAAACTAAAACTATAAAGTTAAAACTTAAAGCATATATGACCCCAGGAAATCTCTTTCATAGCCTGTTTACCCTGAACTGGACCTGAAGCTGTCCCTAGTGGTAGTTTCTTTTTTTTTTTTTTTTTTTTACTTTTGACGTGGTGCTTACTGGGTAGCTCTCAGGGTTATCTCTCTTGCTCATTTTATTTAGGCCACTCGTAGGCCCAGTCTCCTGACAGTCCAGGGCATTGAGTAGTCCTGTGGCCCACTCTGCGAATGGTTAGATGGTTGGGAGAGTGGTTGCTTTCCTTCTGCTAATGCTGGCGGGTCTCCTAGGAACAGCTCACCCCATGTACCTTCCAGTGGGCCTGGGCTTTCTCCTTTGCCTTTGCACCACCACCTCCTGAAAGAGCAGATCATTTGTCACCCTTCCTGCCCTGCATGCCAGCTCCGCCTTCGTTCTCAGGAACCAGGAGTCACGACCTCTGGCTCATTCGCAGCTGGGTGTGCCCCTTGGGGAGGCTTCACTTGGTCACTATATATATATTTTTTTAATCCTCTAAATATTTCAGTGTGAATTTCTTAAAACCAAAGTCATTCTCTTACGTAAGGACAGTTAGGAAAGACTGCATATGGGGGAAGGATGAAGTGAGGGGCAGTCCAGACAGAAGAGGGGTGTGAACAGAGGAGGGCCCAGGTGCCCACGTGCAGAGGCCCTGGAGAGGAGTGTGGGAAAGTAGTGAGGAGAGATCGTTCCGAATTTTATCAAATTCCGGGAGTTAACTGATGCAACACTGATATTTAATATACAGATTTTATTCTTGTCCCTTATCTGGTTCAGAATCCAATCCAGGATCACACGTTGTATTTAGCTGTATATCTTTTTAGTCTCCTTTAATCGGAACACTTCCTTAGTCTTTTTATCTTTTACGACTGATATGGTTTGGCTGTGCCCCCGCCCAAATCTCATCTTGAATTGTAGCTCCCATAATTTCCATGTGTTGTGGGAGGAACCCGGTAGGATATAATTGAATCTTGGGGGCAGTTTCTCCCATACTGTTCTCATGGTAGTGAATAATTCTCACATCTGATGGTTTTGTAATGGGAAACCCCTTTCACTTGGTTCTCATTCTCTCTCTTGCCTGCTGCCATGTAAGCCGTGCCTTTCGCCTTCCACCATGATTGTGAGGCCTCCCCAGCCACGTGGAACTGTGAGTCCATTAAATCTCTTTTTCTTTATAATTTACCCAGTCTTGGGTATGTCTTTATCAGCAGCATGAAAATGGACTAACACAATAAATTGGTACTGGTAGAGTGGGTTGCTGCTTTATAAAGATACCCCAAAATGTGGAAGCAACTTTGGAACTGGGTAACAGGCAGAGGTTGGAACAGTTTGGAGGGCTCAGAAGAAGACAGGAAAATGTGAGAAAGTTTGGAACCTCCTAGAGACTTGATGAATGACTTTGACCAAAATGCTGATAATGATATGGACAATGAAATCCAGGCTGAGGTGGTCTCAGATAGAGATGAGGAATTTGTTGGGAACTGGAGTAAAGGTGGCTGTTGCTATGTTTTAGCACAGAGGCTGACAGCATTTTGCCCCTACTCTAGAGGTTTGTGAAACTTTGAATTTGAGGGAGATGATTTAGGGTATCTGGCGGAAGAAATTTCTAAGCAGCAAAGCATTCAAGAGGTGACTTGGGTGCTGTTAAAAAGCATTCCGTTTTAAAAGGGAAACAGAGCATAAAAGTTCAGAAAATTTGCAGCCTGAAGATGTGATAGAGAAAAAAAATCCATTTTCTGAGGAGAAATTCAAGCTGGCTGCAGAAATTTGCCTAAGTAATGAGGAGCCAAGTGTTAATCACCAGGACAATGGGAAAATATTTCTAGGGCATGTCAGAGACCTTTGTGGCAGCCCCTCTCATCACAGGCCCGGAGGCCTAGTAGGAAAATACGTTTCAGGTGCCTGACCCAGGGCCCCCTCTGCTGTGTGCAGCCTAGGGACTTGGTGCCCTGTGTTCCAGCCACTCCAGCCATGGCTAAAAGGGACCAAGGTAGAGCTTGGGCCGTGACTTCAGAGAGTGCAAGCCGCAAGCCTGGCCAGTTTCCACATAGTGTTGAGCCTGTGGGTGCACAGAAGTCAAGAATTGAGGTTTGGGAACCTCCACCTACACTTCAGAGGATGTATGGAAATGCCTGGATGTCCAGGCCAAAGTTTGCTGCAGGGGCAGGGCCCTCACAGAGAACCTCTGCTAGTACATTGCGGAAGGGAAATGTGGGGTTGAATCCCCCACACAGAGTCCGCACTGGGGCACTGCCTAGTGGAGCTGTGAGAAGACAGCCACCATCCTTCAGAGCCCAGAATGGTAGATCCACCAACAGCCTGCACCGTGTGCCTGGAAAAGACACAGATACTCAATGCCAGCCTGTGAAAGCAGCAGGGAGGGAGGCTATACACTGCAAAGCCACAGGGGCAGAGCTGCCCAAGACCATGGGAACCCATTTCTTGCATCAGTGTGACTTGGATGTGAGACATGGAGTCAAAGGAGATCGTTTTGGAGCTTTAAGATTTGACTGCCCTGCTAGATTTCGGACTTGCATGGGTCCTGTAGCCCCTTTGTTTTGGCCCATTTCTCCTATTTGGAATGAATGTATTTATCCAATGCCTGTACCCTCATTGTATCTAGGAAGTAACTAACTTACTTTTGATTTTACAGGCTCATTGGTGGAAGGGACTTGCCTTGTCTCAGATGAGACTTTGGACTGTGGATTTTTGAGTTAATGCTGAAATGAGTTAAGACTTTGAGGGACTGCTGGGAAGGCATGATTGGTTTTGACATGTGAGGACATGAGATTTGGGAGGGGCCAGGGCGGAATGATACAGTTTGGCTGTGCTGCCATCCAAATCTCATCTTGAATTGTAGCTCCCAAAATTCTCACATGTTGTGGGAGGAGCCTGGTGGGATATAATTGAATCATGGGGGCAGTTGCCCCCATGCTGTTCTCATGGTAATGAATAATTCTCAGGACATCTGATGGTTTTATAAGGGGAAACCCCTTTCACTTGGCTTTCATTCTCTCTCTTGCCTGCTGCCATGTAAGACGTGCCTTTTGCCTTCCGCCATGATTGTGAGGCCTCCCCAGCCACGTGGAAATGTGAGTCCATTAAACCTCTTTTTCTTTATAATTTACCCAATCTTGGGTATGTCTGTATCAGCAGCATGAAAACGGACTAACACAATGACCTTGATACTTGAAGAGTACTGGCCACTTATTTTCTAGAATGTTCCTCAGTTTGGGCCTGTCTGATATTTCCTCATGGTTAGATTTGAGTTATATATTTTTGACAAAAATGGATAAGTGATGCTGTCTTCTTCTCAATGCATCCTGTTGTGGCACTTGATGTCAAATTACTAATGATATTAGATTTGAGCACTTAGTAAGGTGGTATCTGCCAGGTTTCACCAATGTGAAGTTATTCTCTTCATGTTTGTATTGAAGTATATTGTGGGAAGATACTTTGAGACTATAAATATCCTATTTTATTTCATACTTTGCCAGTGACTTTTAATATCCATTGATAACTTTTGCTTGAAATAGTTATTATTGTGGTGGTTGACAAGTAGTGATTTCCCAATTTGAATCTTTATTCCTTTTAGATTTATTAATTAGGATCCTGTTGTGAGCAACAGCTTTCTCTTCTCTTCCATTTATTCATTTTTTTTTTTTCTATTTTACTTCTTTTTTTTTTTTTTTAGAAATAGGGTATAGCTATGTTGCCTGGGCTGGAGTGCTGTGGCTATTGCCAGACACAGTCATAGTGCAGTGCAGCCTCCTGGGTTCAAGTGATCTTCCCAGCTCAGCCTCCCAAGTAGCCAGAACTACAACAGGCCATTTATTCATTTTTTAAAATCAGTATTTATGTCATGGATTTTTATTTTATTCTATGGGTTATAATCCACTACTAGCTTTATTCATTCCTTCTTTTATAAATTTATCTGTAGTAGCTTTACTGAGATATAATTCACATACTATAAAATTCACCCTTTTAAAGTATGTAATTTAGTGGCTTATGGTATATTCACTGAGTTGTGCAATCCTCACAATATCCTATCTAATTTTAGGATATTCCTATTACCCCAAAGAGAAACTCATTACCCATAAGCAGTCACTTCCCATTCCTCTGTTCTGCCAGCCCCTGGCAACCACTGATCTACTTTCTGTCTCTGAATGTGACTACATATCTCATATAAATGGAATTATACAATATGTGGCCTTTTGTGTCTGGCTTCTTTTTGTTAGTGTAATTTTTTTCAAGGTTTATCCATGATAGAGCATGAATCAGTATGCCATTTTTGTGATTGAATAATATTACATTTTATGGACATACTACATGTTGTGTTTTATTTTTTATTTCTTTTAGAGACAGGAGCTCACTCTGCTGCCCATGCTGGAAGTCAGTGGCACAATCATAGCACACTGTAATCTTGAACTCCTAAACTTGCCTCAGCCTCTAGAGTAGCTGGGACTACAGGCACATGCCACCACAACTGGTTAATTTTTTATTTTTATTTTTTGTAGAGACAAGGTCTTGCCACGTTGCCTAGGCCACTTTTGAACTCTTGGCCTCAAGCAGTCCTCCTGCCTCAGCCTCCCAAAGTGTTGGGATTACAGGCATGAGTTCCTGTGCTTGGCCCTACCACATTTTATCTCTTCATCAGCTGATGGACATTTAAGTTGTTTATACCTTTTGGCAATTATGAATAATGCTGCTATGAATATTTGTGTACAAGTTTTTGCATGGACATACATTTTTCATTCTCTTTGAGTGTATACCTAGAAGTTAAATTATTGGGTCATATGATAATTCTGTGGTTAACATTTTGAGGAACTACCCAATTTTTTTTTTTAAATGGTGTTTTTGCACCATTTTATGTTCTTACCAGCAATGTATGAGAGTTCCAGTTTCTTCACATCTTTGCCAGTATGTGTTATTGTCTTTAATTGTAACCATCCTAGTGAGTGTGCATGGGAATTTCATTGTGATTTTGATTTGCATTTCCCTAATGACTAGTGATGTTGAGCATCTTTTCACATGCTTACTGGCTGTTTGTATATCTTCTTTGAATAAATTCTTTGCCCTTTTAAAAATTGAATTGTCTTTTTGTTGTTGAGTTGTAGAGTTCTTCATATATTCTGGATTTATGTATATACTGGGTTGTTGCTTAAGTTTTTGAGATTGGTCCAGTAGAAGCCTCTTCAAACTGGCTTCTGTGTCCTTTAGTATGCCTGTATAATTTTTTGGATGCTGTTATGGACTGAGTTTTGGTACCCCCATGCCCCCAGTATTTATTATTTTGTCCTGACCCCTAGTACACCTCAGTTACATTCTGGAGATAGGGACTTCAGGGAGGTAATTAAGATTAAATGAGGTTGTCTGGGTGGGCCCTAATCCTGGATGACTGGTACCCTTATAAGAAGAGGGAGAAACTCCAGGGATGCACACAGCCTCAGGAGAAACCAAACTTGTCAGCATCTTGTTCTTGGACTTCTAGTCTCCAGAACTGGAGAAAATAAATTTCTATCGTTTAAGCCACCCAATCTATGGTATTCTGTTATGGTGCCCCAAATAAACTGACACAAGTGCTTTCTTTCTGACACCACAAGATGTTCTAGTCTTATACTTTCCTGCTCCAGCCCTAGAGTCAGCCATTTATTCATGGATCACTGGTTCTTAGAGAATAATACACTTGCCACTCAGTATAGGTATGTGGTGAATTGGTTCCAGAACCTCCTGTGGATACCAAAATCCACGGAACCTCAAGTCCCTGATATAAAGTAGCATAGTGTTTGCATATAATTTGTGCACATCCTCCTGTATACTTCAACCATGTCTAGATTACTTATAATACCTAATGCAATGTAAATGCCATGTAAACAGTTGTTATGCTGTACAGTTTAGGGAATAATGACAAGGAAAGAAGTTTGTACATGTTTAGTCAAGATGCATTTTTCCCCCACCAAATGTCTTCCGTCTGCGGTTGGTTGAATCCATGGATGCAGAACCCCCCTATATGGAGGGCCGATTGTATTTAGAAAGGATGATCTGAATGTTGCTTTGCCTATATTTCATTGTTTCCAGTCTTCTCAGTGGACAGAGCTAGGACATTTATGTGTGTGTATACCTGCAATCCCGACACCTCTGTATCTATTTCTATAATTATCTGCCTGTGTATTGAAAACTGTGAGTTCATACTGATGACCTCTAGCTTCAGTCCAGTTCCACAGTGCTCATTCTGGCCTTCCCCCTTTTCTTATTTGCTTTTCTACATTTGCTGTGTATCTTAGAATACATATAAAGTAGTTTCATAATTATTAACATGTGCCCCTGTGAGAAACAAACTTACCAACTATGTATGGTTCTTTTTGGCCTTTAACCTTGGATTACATAGTCAAAATACCATATTCATAGTTACTCAGGTTATTTCTCCCTTGCCTCCCCTTCAGTGTGGTTGTGTTATTTGAAACACAAATGAATTTGTGTTTATAAGGTTTTTAAAATTCTATTTTTTATCCCCTGCCCCGTCCTTGTTGATTTTATTATTTTTTCAAGTATATGAAACCTTAACATGGTTCAAAAAGTCAAAACTCTATAAAAAGCTATACTCAGAGAAGATTTTCTCTCTTCTATTTCCTTCCCATCTCCCTCTCCATTCCACTGTGTTCCCCTCTGCCCCTGCAGGTAACCACACTCAGTTGTTTCTTTCCAAGTTATCCTTCCTGTGTGTTTGGCCACTGCATCCCAACCAGAGATGCTTCCTTGTAAGGAGCTTCTCAGCATATACATCTCCAGTGCTGATGCTGGCATTCAGTCATGCCACTCTGTCTTGTTCCTTAACATTGATCAGTTCATCAATGAATCACTCATTATTTGGTACCTACTCTGTGCTAGGCACTGGGTTAGAAGCAGGGACAGAGGCTGAACTATGAAGTAAAGCAGCATGTTTTGAGCCCTCTGTGTATCCTCCCTCTCTGAATCTCCCTGTCTCTCCTTGTCCCCCTTTCTTCTGATCTGTTATTCCCTGCCTATATCATAAAGCTGCTGTTTTGTCTAAACTATCAATCATATATACAATATATACTAGATGTTACTCTTACAAATAGTCAGTGCAAAATAACATTGACAGCTGGCTAAAACTGCACAAGGTAACGTTTGTTACTGATTAAATGTGATGGGAGAATCAAATCTTCCTTATCAGACTGGGTCTCCCAGAGTACAGGTACCTGTTAGAAATATGATTACCATAAAGGAAAAAAAAATCGTACAAGCAATAAAAGTTATGTAAAAAAAATACTAAATTTCACTTTTGTTGTAAAATTAAAACTGACATGGACGAATCCCAATGAAAATAATCTTAGTACAGCATAAATGAAAATGGAAAAATTGGAGACTATTTTTGCTATACAGAAAATGGCTAAATGGATATCGCAGCAGAAAAGACAGAATGTAGGAAGGATGGGGAGCAAGAGGCAAGGCTGGAGAGGAGGCCTGAATTTGTTCCTAATCCCAAGGAAAGTAGAAACCACTGGCCAGTTTTAAGTAGTGAGCATCATCTTGCTTGCATTGAAAAGTGTGTCACTGGCTGAGCTGTAGAGAATGGGCTGGAGTAGGCAAGATGAGTACTGCACAGTCCTACCTCTGAATTTTGTAGCTCAGGAAGTTACCAGATAAACGCAAAGGACTGTGGGAGGAAGGGAGAGGTGGGTGCGGAGGGAGGGTGGGAGGAAGGAAGAGAGAGATCACTGTGGGTACAGATGGTAGGAAAAGGATGAGGAATGGACAGCCTCTCAGTTCGTAGAGTTGACATTTGCACTGAGCTTGGAGGGAAGAAAAGCTAAGAAAGACCTGGGAAGTGGAGACGATGAGGTGAAGGGGAATCCACACAGAAGGTGGCAGCCACAGAGGAGAGGGAGCGCAGGGCTTGGAGTCCTTGGCTGGAGCCCCGACTCATGTGGAGAGACCTGGAGAAGCATCAGGGAAGGTGTTTGAGGAGAGAGCACTCAAAGAACTATTGCAGCAGTGTGAGAATGGTTCTTGTCTTCTCCACTCCTCTTCCCCCAACATGAATGAATGTATATATTCATATTCCACCATACTCTGTTACCAAGTAAGAGTTTCACTTACTAAGTAAGTTGAGCACCTTATCAGCATAAGGGAACCAGAATAAGTTGCTAAAATTCCAGCTGAGAGTAGATAAGTTGTGTTTTGGTTAATCATGTAGTGTCTTAGTGTCTTCCATGTTCCATGTGACAACATGATGACTTTTAGCCTTAACTCTTTTTTTGAAGGATGCATGCAACCACTTTGGAAAATGATTTGGCAGTGACTTGTAAAGTTAAACATACACTTACCCTATAACCCAACCATTCCACTCCTAGGTATTTGCCCAAGAGAAATGAAAACATCACAGAGGCTTTATTTATAAGAGCTGAAGACTGACAGTGAACCAAATGTCCA